GCAGCACTCGTGGTAACATCACAGCTTTTTAGGAGCAGTGAAATCGCGAGTCTGGCGGACAGAAGCCGACTGCCCTGCTGCTGTTTCTCCAGCCTATTGCAGCTGCAACAGTGCTTTGCAGCTGGTGCTGGGAGCTGGCAGCAGCTGCCAGGCAGTGCGGCTCAGCCCTGCGTTGTTTCTGCAGGTAGGAGGGTGGAAAACCGTGTGCTGAGCCCGACAAAGGCAGCGGCTTTTAAGGGTTCAGATGGTCCCCAAAAGATTCTTGTGGAAGCTGTGGCTGAGCTGTCCCTCGGTGCTCAGCAGGGCTGTCCCTGGTGCCTGCCCGCTTCACGTGAAAGGACAAATGGAGCGTTGCACCGGAGGTGAATAAATAGCCCTAATGGCTCTGGACTGAAACGAAGCACAGTGTGCTCTTACAGGGCCTTGGCAGTGAGCAGAAAGGAGCTACTGTGCTGGGTACCCAGGCAACAAAGCTGGTCACTAGCAAACAGCCCGCTTGTTTTTTCCTAATGCGAAATTCGCTTTTTATGGCTTTCATTTCCCAAGCAGGCAGAGCCCCTGCAGACTCGGGGTTAAGTGTGATCATACTATAATGCACAAACAAAGACATACATATGTGTATCTGCCAGGCTCATTAAACAGGGATCAGCCATGAAGTCTGGCTGCCGGCCAGCCTGACTGGCATGAATGGCCTGAAAAGACAGCTCCCTGAGCAGGCCTTGCTCTGAGTCTCGGACTGACAGAGCACTGCGGTGCTGCTCAGAGGAGCAGCCTTGCAGAGGGCTGTGCTGTTACCCGTTGGCTGTGTCCTACTCCAGAGGAAGATCATCTCCCCCTCGTGCAGGGTGCTTAACTCCCAGTTGGGTCAGGAACTGAAGGTTTGGAGATGATTACTTTGTCTGCAATAACCTGGAAAATTGGCTGACCTCAGCTCTGGTGTTACCACCTGGAAGCTCTCCATTCCCTTTGCACACAGGTTTCTCCCCCTGCTCCTGTACTTCCTCCTACAGCTCATCAGGATCGGCCACGTGAGATTTGTCTTGGCCAAGTACACCAAAGGAAAGGTCACCACAGCCCAAATGGACCTTCCATGATGAATGATCCCTCCCAGCCCATGTCCTTCTCTTTAGAAGCTAGAAGCCCACAGAGGCCGTGGCTGTACGAGCTCATCACAGATGTAAATGAAGGGAACAGCAAGTGGAAGGGCGGAAGGAAGCCTGCTCTAATTACCCAAAACAAAGAGTATTGAATAATACAATAATTTCCCCAGGAAGAGATTATAGAGAATTGCATGTAACGTCTCAGTTCTGAAGGGTTTAACAATTTCACCTTAGGATGAAATCTAATTAGAAGGCTAAGGTTACAAAGGAAAACGGTTATTTCATAAATCCCTCCGTAGAGTTATTTGGAAAAATACTGGTTTCTCTGTATGGATGAAATAAGCAATCCATTTGCACTGAGTTACACTTTAGATGAAAATTCAGGACTTAAGGTTTCTGAAACTCACTTCGAGGTCTTTCTCATTCCAGTTTGAAAGAGAATACAACCTAAAATGAATTTTTTCCATTACATTTCCATTTGTTTTTCTTAATCCATCCTTCTAACATTATTATTATTATTGCCACTTTCTTGTTGTTGTTTATACATTTATAAATACACAGGTTTTTATGAAATATTTATATCTGTGGGTGAGGAGCACGAGGATCACATGATGACGTTTCTTTCTACCATTCAGTTTCATCAAAAAGGGGGAAAGAAATGTCACCAGTCACTACCTCAGCAGTGTTTCTATATCTGTGTGGTCCAAGAGGGTTAGATAGAAATCTCTGTAGCGTCAGAAGTTGTGTTCTTGTTTCCCAGGAAAGCAAAGATGACCCAAAAAGACGAAGGGAAGAGGAAAAGAGATGAGAAAGGGAGGTGGTGGAGTCACTGTCCCTGGAGGTGTTAACGTTTAGCTGTGGTATTAAGGGACACGTATTAGTGTGGAAATATTGGTGTTAAGTGGATTGGATGATGTTGGAGGTGATTTTCCAATCTTGGTGATTCTGTGATGCTATGAAAATGCCCCCAGTACACAAGTGCTGGTGTTAACCAAAGCCCCTAGCGAGCCTGCAAGAGCCAGCCCTGCCTTCTGCATTTGTTTGGCCTCTCCTTGCTCAGCAGCTCCCACGTTGCTCCTGGCTTTCCTGAGCTGCTGGAGGGACCTCGCAGGGCCATGGCCCTAATGAGCTCCACTGCCCTTTGTTGGGGTCTGTGACCTCAGCACAGGAAGATGACATCACTCAAAAGGGCAGCAGCGCTCTCCCATCGTGCTGCCTCTAAACCACAGCTTTTGTGGGCCTGACCTTTACCTCCGCTGATACAGATCAGAGCAATGTAGGCCAATTGCTGCCCTTTTGGTCAAAGTATTTGTATTTTTCACGTGTTTTACAGCTTCACATGTCTGCTGTGCAATTATTTACTTCTACAAGTGTTTGCTTTGCTTTTTTTTTTTTTTTTTTTTTCTCTTCAGATTTGTCTTGTGACAGCCTTTCCCGTGTCAGATCCTCTAGTTTTGTAAAAACCCAAAATAAGGAAGGGTCCCTTTAGTGGCAAAGAGCCGTGTGACATGGCACCCAGGTAAAATGGTAAAAATAGACAGCGTAGGATGTCATCATGTGTGCTGGTGGTGCGAAGCAACCCACACACACATTTCTCTCTTTCCAGGCCACCTGGATCCTGCGTGTTCTTTTGTGCAACAGGTTTTGGCTTCAGCATTTGAAAGCAAACACTGTGTGTGGGATGGACTGGCCAGGGCTGCTTTGGGGTGGCCGATAAGGAAGGAGGGAGCAGGCTGTCCCCAGGGCAGTGCCCTTGTGAGGAGAACCAACAGCATGACCTCCCATTTCCAGTAAGTCTGGCTCCTTTGTCCCCAGCCCTAAGGAAACCAAACAGCTCTCCAGCAGGGACACCTGGAGCAGGGTGTACAGGCCCACAGCCAGGGGACAACTGGAGATCTCTAAAGAGGAGACCCACAGCCTCTGTGTTCCCGTGCCAGTGCTCAGGCACCCCCACAGCACCGATGTGCTGTCTGATGGTCAGAGAGACCTCCTGGGTTCTTTGTGCCCACTGCCTCTTGCTGGGCCAGGCAGGGAGAACAGCACCTCCAATTCTTTGCTGTTATCTCAATCTCAACCCATGCTCTCTAAATTGCAGGGAAATCGGCGTATTTTGTAGTTAATGATTAAGACGTCCTTCTGGAAGCCGTGACTTTGCTTGGAGGCATTGGCTTGCTCACTGACGTGCTTAAAGCCATACGTCAAGGACACCGTGGGAAGGCACCTGTGGGCACCCACTTAATACAGGGTAACATTTCCCCTGCAAGCAGCCTGGATACTCAGGTGGAAGAGCCGAGCTGAGCAGCGGGGCCTGTAACCACACCAAGGCCTCAGTGTGCTGGGAGCAGGTGGTGGGGCCTGCGCTGCCCTGCCTGCGCCAGCTGCACTCCTTCCAGCTCTCGCCTTGTCCGTACAGCTTGATGCTCACACAAACGTGTTTTTCCAGCTGTTAGATGGCTGCCCTTGGAGATAAGGTGCACTGAAAGGTTTGTAGTCTGCTTTTGAGCGGGAATCAGAGAAATTCATGGTGCATTCGGCTTGCTGAGCTGCTGAGGGAGGAGCGTCCTCAGTGAGGTCTGGGTGCACGGCAGTGATGAGACGCCCCCCACCCTCCCTCCTTGCCACGTGTTCCCTGCCTTCAGGGCTGCCATGGTGAGGATGTGGTTGCTCTTTGGGGCTCATTTTTGACCTTGTCCCTGCCAGGTGCTGTCCCAGCTGCTGCTCAGCACTGAGGTTGGTTTGTCCTCCCCTTGCATCCCCTTTCACTACACAGAATCATAGAATCACAGAGTGGCTTCGGTTGGAAGAAGCTTTGAAGATCATCCAGCTCCAACCCCATTTCTGTGGACTGGTTGCCCCCACCAGATCAGGCTGCCCAGGGCCCCATCCAGCTTCACCTTGAGCACCTGCAGAGATGGGGTACCCACATCCCTTTATGGGCTAGGAAGTGTCTTGAGTATTAAGCAGACATCACCAAGATGGGCTGCTTAGAACACAGCTTTTGTCTTGGTGTTAAGTGCTTGAAAATGGGAATTAGGGGGTTACGATGCCAAAACCTTAATTTGTTTTCCATAATATTAAGGTAAATGTGGATGGATGGCAAATTCATCGCTATAGGAACACAACTGCACCAAGAGGACCCATTCCCAAGGCTCTCTGACAAACCTGGGCTGAGCAAACCAATATCTTTACCCATTCAAAGAACAAATATAATGAATGCTGCTCTGGGCTGAATCAGTTCTACCCGAAGTGGCCTCTCCCCAGATCCTCCTTTTGCTCTGCACATTTCCTTCCTTTGCTTCCACCCTTTCCCCTCCCCAGTGCATCCTGCGCTCACACCTTCATTTCAGCTGCAATCCTCCCAGTTGGGTTTGGGGGCCTGTGAGAGCCAAGCCCTGTTCTAACAACCAGCATCCCACTAACGAGTGCTCCCAAATCAGACTGCCAGCACCTGGGAGGAGTGATTGCACAGAAATAAATCTCCAATTCGCTTTAATAGCTCCAAATTGAAAGTTGCCAGAGGCTAATTATAGCAGCTCTGACAGTTCGAGGATTAAAATTATCTTAATAGTTTAACAGTATAAACACTGACTCATGGCACTGGCAGCCTGCTGAGCAGCACACTCACCTGCACCCCAGAGGTAGTTTTCTTGGCTGTGGGTTGGCCAAGGGATAGGGGAATCTGCACAAGAGGGATATGGCTTGGCTCTAGGGTGGCTTTTTCAGGGATATTTGCCTGCCTATATTGATTTCTGTACCCATTAGTTTATATGCATTAGATATTTGTTTATAGGCCACCCTTTTCTCCCTCAAATTGGAAACACCTGGGTCATCTCAGCTGCTGGGCTGGCAGACTGTGTCCTCTTTTCCACTAGCCTCATTTCACTGCTCTCCACACCAAATAAGCTATTGTGACCTAAATTACAAGGTTTTTTTTTGGGGGGGAGTTGTGCTCTATGCAAAAGCCATCCACGCATCCAACAGTTTTCTCCTAAGGTGACACATCTTGTGATTGAGTGGGGGCGGGAGTTCTGGGGAGCATAGCAAAGAAAAAGGCATTGAAAAGGAAAAGTGGAGCTCCAGCCCTCAGCAGGCAGGCAGGAAGGGGGCTGCTGAGTGAAGGAATGTGTGCTCTGAAAACCTGGGACAGCAGCCAGGAGGTGCGGCAGGAGTATAGGGAATGGCAAAAGGGACTCCTCATATCAGACCAGGACGGAGAGATGGGTGACATTTTAAGCAGTGAAATGTCTTCTTGCCTTTACATTTATTTATTTGCACGTATACAATGAATGTGCCTCAGAAAATCTCCAAGGCCAAAAAACATCAAAATTCAGAAGGATAATTTAGAGATGCAAGCATACCCAGGTCTACAAGCATGTTGGTCCCAGAATCCATGTCTGGTTTGAACTGATGCAAATCACTTCACTTTTTGGTGCCTCCTTATTTCATGAATAGGAGCAGGGACTCCTTCTTCCACTCCTTTTTCCTCTTGCCTACTTAGTGCCTGCCCTGCAATGACCACTGCCCTATTTCCTGCCACAGGGACCAGTTCCCTCCAACCCCGGGCACTTCTGAGATCCTACTGCTCTACTGAAAGTGACATGGGACCACCATGAGCAGCAGAAGCAGTGGAAGGAAGCTAAAGGAGAAGTTACCTGAATCTTACCAAATATGTCAAGCTCTGACTCATCTTTTAGATATATTCGCTGTGATTGCTGCTCATTTGTGCAAGAAAACTCAGCCAGACGACCACAAGGAGCTACAGAAGTCCTCCCCTCTAAATGAGGAGAGGATGCCACTGGGCTACAGGCTGCTGGATGGACTTGGCCATGAGGTCCCAGTGGTCAGCTGCCTCCCTTGCCATGTTCCTACCCACAGTGGCCTGCCCGATGAGGTGCCTGGGCTCAGGGCCCACTTCATAAAGGGAGACGAGCACAGAGCTGTCCCATGCTGCAGCTTGGGGCATGGGGAACAGGAAGGTCTCATTGAAAATGACGAGTGAAGTGTGTGCCTGCGGCCTGGATTTCTGGTGCTTCTGCCTGTGGCGTCTGCAGGAAACATCTATTCTTGCGTATATGCCTGCAACAGGGGGAGACAAAAGGGTAAAGAAGTTGTATTCTAATAGCTGGTAGGACTAAGGGGACCCTCACCATCTCACCATGGTGGAGCCCCATTGCCCAAGGACTTCCTATGAGAAGACACTGCAGCTGTGAAACATCAAACATGGAGTTATAGAAACTAAAAGTGGCTCTACTTCAGCCTTCTCAGGGTAAGGAGCTGTTTACAACTTATCTATGATGCAGAGCATCTCTAAGGCTGCTCTCAGGTGTCTATGGCCTCAAAGGGCAGTCTCCTCCATGGAGATGGAAGGCTGATAGCAGAGCTCTGGTTACAGCCCCAGGGAGTGTGGCATCACCTCTGCACTGCCCCCACCCAGGTTGTCCTCCAGAGGAAAAGCAAATTGGCTTTGGACTGAGGGCAGCAGCCCTGTGATGAGGTCCGGTGTTTGGGTCTCTGCAGAGCAGAGGAATGGGATTCATGGTTGACAGCTGCAGGTTTTATTAGTGTGATGGCCCAATGACATTCAGCAGTGCTTTTCTGCCAAGACTGGAGTATGAGGGCCATGAGAAAGACCTCCCCCCCCAGAACCCCATGCCCATTTGTGTGGATGAGCCCAAGGCAGCAACAGGTAGAGAGGAGCAGCCAGCCCAGACAACAGGGGCACAAAACCCTTACTCTTTTCTGCAGCACTGCAAGGGGGGTAGGTTTTTGCCTTGAGCAGCCCAACCTCCATCCTCTGGGATATGGGCAGGCACCTCAGAGACAGCAGCACCTCTCCCACGACGTCCTGCAGAGGACAGGGGGCATGCAATCAGCAGGTGATTGGGCAGCCCTCCTAGCTACTACCCACACCACACAGATCCCAGGGTACAAGGCAGGAGTTGTTCCTTAAGTGAAGGGATGGCTGTCACAGTGCACAGTCCCTCAAGCCACTGTAAGGGAGCATAGGATTAAGTCATGCATTACCTTTGTGGCCTTCTGCAGTTCTGCACAAAAAACTAAGTTCTGGGAAGCCTTCAGCTGGCTCAGGGCAACCCTGACTTCCCCTAGTGTGGCATTCCTGGAGTATTTGTCAAAATGTTGGACCTATGGGAGAGAGGCAAAAAGCACATCCATGGGGCAAGGTGCAGGACAGGGCAGTGCCTTGAGAGCGTCCCTATAGACCACACGTCCCCCAGGGGCAGCTGCCTGCTCTCAAGGCCTGCTCCTATTGCATCTCTTGGCTTTTGGGATTTGAGCAACAGGGAAAGGTTAGGCTAGGGGCTAGGAAAAGATTGTTCACCAGAGGGTGGTGGGCCTGGAGCAGGCTCCTCAGGGCAGCAGGCATGGCACCAAGCTGCCGGAGTTCGAGAGGCATTGGGAAAATGCTCTCAGACAAAGGGTTTGACTTCTCATTGGTCCTGTGTGAAGCCAGGACTTGGACTCAATGGTTCTTGTGGGTCCCTTTCAACTTGGGATATTCTATGAGCTTGGTTCTTCTCCTGTTGCCAACATCTCAGCAGTTCATGGCCATTCAAGAGGACCTGGTGAGTGAGCCCAGAACTACCCACCTGCCTTGTGTTTCCCCAAAGTGGCAAGAGACAGGAACACTTCAAGAGTGATGAGGGCAGTGTTCTATGTCTACAAGCAAAGGTAGGACCCCATCCCACCTCCATCTTCAGGGTGCTCCTCTCCATCTCAGCATCCTGCAGGGAGCAGACAAAGTGCTCCCCAAAGGTCGTCCCATTGCAGTTCTTCACCGCCCGGCTCTGCCACTCCTGGACCACACACTGGAGCCCAGGGGTGTGGGATGGGACCCGCCGCAGCAGTCGGAGCCAGACGGCCACCTCAGTGTGCCTGCGGCTGGGCAGGCCCCGCACCTCCAGGCCGCTCACCAGCAACTCGCATTGCTCCCTGCGGTACAGCAGGGAGAACTTCAGACTGCCCTGGGAGCTGGGCAGGGGGCTCGGGTCACTGCTTGGGTCTTCAGTGATGCTGCAGGAGAGGCAGGGATGGGGTGCCTCCAGTCCTGCTCCCAGCTCCGCCATCTATGGAAAACAAAAGGAAGAGGAAAGGAGACAGTGTCTTTTAAAACATGGCAAGCTGAATTGTCCTCGTTTTCCTACAGTGGCAGGAAGGTGTGTTGGCAATGGTTGGCAAGCTGGCCCATGTATGGGGGTTGGAACTAGATGATCCTAGAGGTCCCCTTCAACCTAAGCCATTCTATGATCCTGTAGTGCCCTTGCTGGGGCAGGACAGCTGCTCTTTCAGCCTTCTTCCCCTCTTGCTTCACTGTTCTCTCAGCAGCTGCAGCCCCCCAGCAGCCGGTTCGAGCTCAGCAGCTGCTGGTGGTATTTTGGGGCCGTCGTTGAGTCCACTGCCTGCCTTATGGCTTCCTGCACTGCTCTGGGGAGGGCAGCAGGAACTCGAGGAATTTGCGTTATGGGAAACCACAGACATGGGGTGGAATTGGGGGGGAAGGGAAAGGAGAGAAACTTGCCATTGCTCCTGCCCTCAGATTGAACAGATGCTGTATAAAGGAGGAGTAACTAGAAGTGAAACTTGAGATCGAGTTAGTCATCAGCTTTCCCAAAAATTGCACTGCAGGTTTTTCACTTCCCCCAGCACTGGACTTCATATGGCTCTCAGCCTTGCCCAGCACTGATGTACATGCCTCCATATCCACGTCACTCTGCTGGCTGCTGTCAAGCAGAAGAGGCGGCATCTTCTTCCCCCACAGGCCATTCTGTGCCCTCATCTTCACCCCATCTTCACTGCCGTATTTCTTCTCTGTCGGAATAAAGAAAAGCAGTAGGCAATACCCAGCTGGCACAGTGTAGCCACCAGGAAGGGGACAGCCTCGCAATAGGACCTGCTAAGGGCCCACGTTCCCCTCACGGGCAGCACCAGGACAGGGGGGCTGCCCCAGGTTCACACCACCTTCCCAGGAGGAGCCACTCCCCTAGCTGCCCCAGGGTACCTTGACAAGCTGCTTGCCATGGAGTGCCTGTGACAGTCACATAAGTGCTTGGAAGCAGGAAAACCACTACCCAATACTTACTTTTCCCAGTCCTGCTGTGTTTCTGAAGCTGGCACATCTGGTAAGCCAGGATGGTCAAGGCCCCCAGGAGCAAGAGGATGGCTAATGCCAGGATCCCATATTTCCAGGTGCTGGAAATGGGAAGCTGTAAGTTGTGCAACCTGAATGTGATGGAGCTGTTCTGCATGTTATCTTCTTCCTCTGGAAGAAAGAAGGAGGCAAAGGCTCAGCATCAGCATTGCCTCCCCACACTGTGAGGCCTGAGCAGAGCACAGGACAAGGCCTGTATTCAGTCATACGCACTGCAGCTCAGGCCCACACACACAGAATTGGTCACTTTGCTGGGTGTGCAGTATTATTTATGCAGGCTTGTGCTCACCAGATCAGTATCATTTCATCATAGTTCTGCTACTACCACATAGATGGGCATCTGCTGGATTCCATTCCTTTGTCCAAAGCTACTCGCAAAGCAGCCTATAGACTTCCAATGGGAAAGGCTATGAGAAACAGGGCACACCTGTGATTTCTCTACTAGTTTTTTCTCAGCCTGCTGCCTTGCCACCACATACCTCTACTGCCTCCTACAGCCACTGTCCTTCTTGCTTACTACCTTCTGACAATTCCTGATAGAAGATACTCAGGGAAAGCATAGGACTAAGCACAAACACCCAGCAAAACTTTACCCCCTTAATATTTCCCCCACAGTATGCAGTTGAGGGATGCTAATAATGATAATTAACAGGTTTCTTTAATTTCCATTAATTTTTCCAGTTGCCTTTATAAGCAGCAATGGTTTCTACTCTCACTGTATGATCTTCTGCAAAGGAGTATCTCAGCTTTGCCTAATGTTACTTATTCCCTCAAGGAACCTCCCAGTTTTGAGAAGAAACAGAAGCTGTATTTTACTTCTAAGAAGATGACAGAGGTCCATCAGGCTACAGCTTCATGCAGCCTTTCATCACTACTTAGCCTGATTAATCAAAGCAAAGACTGGAAGGAGGGATCCTACCAGAATCTTGGAGCAAGTATCCCTTAAGAGTGTTAGCTCCTACCTAAGGAGCAGGTGGGTATATTTCGGGAGGAACAGGGCTGAGTATTTCATTCCCCTTAACACCTTTATACCCGTTTGCTCTGAATAGGCCTTGGCGTTTTACTCTTTCTCTGATTGCTTAAGATGAGATTAAAACATGATTTTTTGCAGAGACCAAATGCTTTACCCGCTTCTAGCAAATAAAAGTAGCCAAGAGCCAGAGCCCAGCTTTAGACCAGTGCTATTTTAATGTATTACTACTGCTTAATACAAAAATCAGTTGAGTGAAAATCCCTCAGTGTGCACGAGTTCCTCACATCAGAACAGGTTGCTATTAACACCACGTATTTTCTTCTCTGTGTTTTCATTATTGCCTGTATTATCTGTGTTTTCATTGCAGGACCCTGCACAGAGCAATGTGCTGGAGCAGAAGCAACAGCAAAGAACAGGAGGTGGCCGGCAGGAACATCCTTGTGTGAATGAGAGCCAAACCTAAGCCTAAATAAACAGTTCCCTGAAAATGTGAGACTAAGAGAAACATTATAAATCTGCAAAGGAAACTTAACTCTCTGCTAACCTACAGTAAGAAGCTACAGGCTGGCTTAGGTGCAGATCTGAGCATCAAGAGGCATTTGTTGAAAGCAGAGACTTCAGGAAGATCATATTATGAAGATAACCTTTAGCAGACATTGTTGCTCTAAACCTGGCTGCCAGTCACCTGACTGATTTTCATTCTTAATCTGCACCTGAATGAGGAGAATGATGGGCAAGCAGCCATTTAAATAGAGGCAAAAACAAAGCTGAATGTCTCTGTCACCAGCAAGCTTCACCCTCCTGGAGCCTGCCTGAACACCACTTCCTCTCACAGGGGCAGATGTCACAGCAAGGCTGGCTATGGCAGACAGCCCCACTGCTCAGTCTGGCTGTCACCCATTCCCTGATGTGTGAATGACAGCCTGCGGTGGGTCAGGCGCTTCCCTAATGCCTTGTGTCTGCATCAGTGTGGGTAAGAGGAAACACCTCACTTTCTGCTCCTTCCTGAGCCCCCTAACAGAGGCAGCCCCCAGCAGAAACAGCCTGGCAGGCACAGGGGACGTTGCTGCCTTTTCCCCAGTGCCATCAGGATCCCATTCCCAGCTCCTCCCAGAGGCCTAGCTCCCAAATCCTACCTTCAGAAACAGCTTCAGAGCAGGATCCTGGGAGCCCTCCGAGCTTGCTGCCAGCACACGGCACAGGGTTGCTTTGTTGCACCAGGAAAACAAATTCCCAGGAGCCAATATTGACGAAGCCAGAGCAGAACAGGGTGTACGTGTGGAACAATGTGCTGGCTGGGCTGGTGCCTGGGTAACTTCATCATAGCCACAGACAGCTGGCAGTTTGGTTGCCCGCCTAGGAAACGTGGCTGCGAGGATCGTGGAAGCCTTTGCACACATCCCTGGAGCTCTCTGTGTGGTCTCAGCTGTGGCAGAGCCCTCCCTGTGAAGCCATGAGCCTAAAGATACATCTAACGGGTGGTTTTAGCAGTGTGACGCCTGGAAGGTGGGAATGGTGCTTTCCTTTAGGAGCAAGAAGACAATGCTGAGCTCCATGGCTGATACAGGGCTGAGCATTGAGGAGGAGATGAGGAAGGAGGTGGGACCTTTTGGGGCTCGGTACCCCAATTCCTCTATGTGCTGCTTGGTTTGCTGTCCCTGCACAGCAGGGATGAGTTGAGGCCTCAAGCCTGGTGGCAGGAGCTCCAGCAGCAATCAGCAATCCCTTCTGGGCCATTGCAGTGCAGCTGGGGAGTGCCTTTGTGCCTGGAGCTGAAGAGCTTTAGTCATCTGCAACACACAGTTAGCTGAGCACGTCAAGGCAGTATGGCACAGACAGGAGAACTTATCATGGAAAAAGGTAAGTGGGGGTGGGGAAAGCTGGCTCTGGAATGTCCTGTCCCAGTGCTTGTAAGGTCAAAGTTTCCATTCTCTTCAGCCATGTGGCTGTGGATTCCTGTGTACTGTTGATTTACCCTCCAGCTTGGAAGGGGTTATGGTGCATGCAGGGTGGCCTTCCCTCCTCTGGCAAGAGGTTGGCTCCACACAGCCTGAGAACTGCACATTTCTGTGTCCATGCTGGCCAGGAAAGGGTTAGGGGAGGCACTTCTATTATTTCATGTCGATGTGTCTTTTTGCTATTATTAAAACAGTTAAAAAGACATAAAGTGCTGGGGAGGCTGCAGAGTGAGGTATACAGGGTTATTTGCCCAGCATTGGAAAAGATGACAAAAATAATGATTTTTCTGAGGCAAAGGAAGATTTCAGGCAAAAAGTTACTCCCATTGGACCATCTCAGCAGAGGGCCAGTGGGTTTCGGAGGAGTGTGACATGCCTGGGAGGGTCACACCCTGATGATGACTGCTGCTGGCAGTGTTGTTGGAGCACCATGACCTCCCTGCTCCAGATCACATGCTTTTGAGATTGCAGAGGTTCTCCCTGCTACTGCCATCTAGAATGCAAAAGAATGTGCTCTGGAGTCAGGTTCTCTGCTACCCGATCTATTTGGTCTCAGGTGCTGTGGCTTTTTAAGCCACTAGTATTTGTTTGGAGAGCTGAGTTGTCCCTGATGGGGCAGGGTTAGTGGTTTTCTGTGCAGTGTTTGGAAAGCAGTGTTGGGGCTGCGCACTACAGAAGGATGGTGTAGGGAAGCTTGTTTATACTGCCATGCTGGGCTATGCTGGCTTTGCAGTAGCCTTCAGATGTCTGCTATGAACTGAGAGTTAGACCTGGACTTCTTAATCTTTGTAAGAGAAGAGTGGTGGGGAACAAACCTACCCTGCCATTCATGCCTGCCTGAAGGCACAAGTAAACATCTGGGACACATTTGGGGTTTGTGATGACTGCTACAGGAACTCTGCTCATGTAAATGCTTCCTTTGTAAGAACCACTATCAGCTTCTTCCAGATCAATGTTTTGCTAAGCCCAAAAAAAGCCAGTTACAAGGTGAACATGTAGGCATAGGCATCACATGACAAAGCCTGCAGGACTCCTTCAAATCATACACCTAGGTGGGATTTGCAAGTGACCAAAACACCAAGCAACAGCTTTAGGGAGGGAGGTGTCAGCAAACAGGATTTAATTTCACATGCTTCTTTTGCAGGGTTAGCACAGTGCAACACCCAGCTTCTCACCTGCATTTTTTTTTTTTTTTTTTAAGCTACTTTTTCTTTCATTGCAGTGTTCTGGGTGTGTGTCAGCTTTGTTTTCCCTTGCAACAAGGCTTATTAAAATTCTGACTGGGCAAACAGCCTCAGAACTAAGGGCTTGAAGGCTTGCAGCCTTCCTAAGGGTTGACATGTCTCCTCCCAATGTGCTTCAGGCCAGGAACATAACCAAAAGCAAACAGTAAGCAAGGTATTAGTAATAGTGCAGTTCAGAACAGATGGGGGTTGGTCATGAGGGAGAAATATACAGATTCAAGCAATGGATTATATCTTATTTTTATAAGTAGGAGAATGAAGCGTTTAATTATTTGCAAACAGATTTTAATAAAAACTCCTGTAGAACCACTCTTGCCAGAGCAAACAAATCAAACCATTAAATCTTCCCCCACACTAATAGAAACACACAGCATCTTTTGTTGGTAGGAAAAAATCACTCTTCAAGGGATGCTAATTCTGACTGTAAGCAGCTGAAGAGCCACTCCTTTCTCTCTCCTCCAGCAGCCTGGTCACTGCTGCTTTTCTAAGAGCTCCTCTAGGGAAAGGCAGCGATGAGCTTGGTTTTAAACTAAAAAGCACACTTGGTTTTTGGAAAGCTCTCCCCAGAGACCTGGCAAAGGTACCCCCCTGCAACAATACAGGAGGTAGTTCTCCCCTTGCCTTTGGAAAGAAGCTCCCTTTAAAGCCTGACTAATACGTTGTGAGGGATTATAGGATTAAAGAGCTCCTAAAGGGTACAGCCCAGCTTCTAGCAGATGCCCGCTTTATTTCAAGGATAGCGATGCTGCAGTGTAAATGTACAGCACTTTCACGGGCCTCAGTGTTGGCAGATCCAGCGACACACAAGGTTTATCAGCTACCCGGACCCCCGCTCTGGGAATCCACAAGGCTTTTTTTGGTAAAAGCACAATCTATATTAAATTAATTTAGCTTTATGTAAGAAAAGTTCAGATTAAGAAGAGGATGTTGTTTTGACTTTGCTCTGCAGGCAGCCATCACTCATGAAATGATCTTCACATCAGGCCTGGCTTCTTCCAGGGCTTTTAGTTCATCATCCACTTCAGGACCCCAGAAAATGTCGTACAGACTGAACCGAAACAAAACAAGCAAGTTGGGTTAGTGGACATTAAGGTCAGAGAGGGCAGAAAGACACAGATGGCTGTCGTGAGAAGACTAATTAACAGAAGGGGCCCCAGCTAGACTGCAGAGTCCAGTCCAAGTGCCAATAAGGCACCTGTATTATTCCCTCCCCAGCATCACCATCTCCTCCTTCCTGGGCCTAACGGATCAAAGCAGATTCAGCCACTACACCCATGACATCTGGGAGGGACAGGGCATGTTTTGCAGCACGTAGATGGTGTTCCACCCCCCAGGATCACCCATTTGCCCATAAGAACACAAGCACTGCTCACATCAGCTGCTGCATCTTGCAGCTGGGGTTCCTCACGGCTTCACAGAGCTTCATCACACCTTCGTCCTCCAG